CAAGTTTTCTGGTAACCTCTACATATACACAAGTTACCTATACAAAGTTACAGTAAGTTTTATTAACTCAGAAATGATCAACTAATTTGCTTGAGAAATTTGAGGCAATCAGTTTCCACAGGTTTTCCAAGTAAGTTCAACTAATTACTTTTTACAGTGTATATAGTAGCCCATATATGAGCATTTGAAGTTTTAAATGAAATATTTGACAAATTTAAATATACAACAGGTTTAATAGATTTTTGCTAAGACAGCTGATAATGGATGGAGAATCTAATTGTACTTGCTCTGAGAGTGTGTTTTATTATTTTAAATGAAGCCAGTGATGTGAGGCCCCTCTTGGTCCTCTGGTTAGCACTAGACTGCTAAGGTACTCGCTGGGTGAGCTCAGCAAAGTGCTGTTTAGAGAGGAGGTTTGGACCCCCCACAGACAACAAACAGTTGTAACGATGCAGCAAAGGAAGGTTAAAACTTTTTCTTCAGAATCAACTGCAATAATTATACTAAAAAAACAAATCGAGAACAGTGCATCCTATTTAACTGCGCATATTTGTGAGGATGTTTGTGCATGTGCGATTCTTTGTGTCTTGTTGCATTGCTAAACTTCATTGCTTTCTGTGTGCAACTGATGAGAAGTAGAAAAAGGGAGTGAAGCCTACTTGGTTGCTAGGGGACATCTTTGCTTAAATTTTGTTGCTAGGCTGCCAATTCCCTCAGTTAAGTGGGAACATCTCATTTTTCTGACTGTTCACCCTGCAACCCTCTCTGTCTCTATCCATGCGTCTCATTCCTTTCCTGTCTGTTTTTCCATCCAAAATAACCAACCCTCTGTCACTATGCATAAAGGTTGCCTGTTGCTAAGGAGTGTGAAGATCCATCACTATCTAAATATGTGAAATCCAGTATTTCAGTGATATGCTGGACTCATAGCAGTGCTACATTAGTCTGTGTGTCTCAGGATGATGAATAATTGTGCCTTGTGGACTGCAAGAGAAAGCACAAAAGAAGTTAGTAATGTGTGAAGTCCAGTGAATCCGTGTGGGAGGTATGCAGCATGTAGATTTGCGCTCTTAAGCTTCTTTCATATTAATCCATGCAATAAATGATGAAAAGCACAAGACGAGCACACAGAAAACATGGCACTGCAGTCTTATATTCTAAACGATAATCAAATTTGACCACATCATAATGCTGAAGGGTTTGGGGATTAAAGTCTTGACCTTTGCGCAAATTAATTAAACACTTTTGTCAAACCAGCAAATCATTATTTTTACAGCAGACTGCCTGACCGGTAGAAAACAGACATTTGCTTGAAAGAAGAATAATCCTATAATCCTGTTATTATATTTCAGTGTCTCAATTAATTAAAATGGGCTTTTTCTCTCTTTTTTCTCAAAGAAAGTGAAGAATCAATAGTGTGTGCGGAACGGTTCGACTTTCACAGAAAAGTTTGCTCTGGTTTTATTGACACTTTCTTCGTCTCTTAATTTATCCCCGTCTCTTCTCTCCCACGGTTTTCTCTGTCAGTGTGACATTTGCCAGCCACCGCACACACACACTCACACACACACGCCCGCGCGCTCTCAACAAACTCGCCTGGCAGCATCTCATGCGCTGTCCTCACTTTTTCAAATTATTGTCACAGTTTCACTGGAGAATACTGTACTCTGTGTAAATCAATGTTTGTTTAATCATTTTTGTGATATTTGGAGCTGCACTGGCCTTGTCTCTTGGGAAACCAGATGTCAGTTTAATCTTCTCAGACCCTAATTATGTTCAAGTAGCCACATATCTATTTTTTATATTTGATCTTATACCATGCTTTATTTCTACTCTAAATGCAACTACAAAAACTGCTTGTCTATACAGTAAAAATCAATCAGTGTTGTTCAATGTTGTGTTGGACCTCACTTTTATTCACTGTACACTCTTAAAAATAAAGGTGCTTCAAAAGGTTCTTCACATCAGCGATGCCATAGAAGAACCATTTTTGGTTCCACAAAGAACCATTCAGTCAAAGGTTCTTTAAAGAACCATCTCTTTCTTATCTTTTTGTAATCTGAAGAACCTTCTTTCACCACAAAGAACCTTTTGTGAAACAGAAAGGTTCTTCAGATGTTAAAGGTTCTTTATGGAACCATTTAGACAAAAAGGTTCTTCTATGGCATCGTGAAGCACCTTTTTTTTTAAGAGTGTATGGTCAAAATAATACAGCATTTCTTCAAAATATCTTATTTTGTTTTACTTTATTTATTTATTTAGTCATTTATTAGATGCTTTTATCCAAAGCGACTTACAAATGAGGACAATAGAAGCAATCAATTGTAGTATTAAAACAACTAAAAACAGATCCAAAACTAAAAGCTAAAACTTTATAAATACTACATATAGACATTTTAAAAATAAAGAGATTAAATAAAAATGACAAGTCCATACAACAAAATTTCAAAACTTAACATTTAAATGAAAAACAAAAAATAAAGCTAAAAACAATTCAAAATATTAAAGAACAAAAGGTATAAGAGTATAATAATGATTCTAACATAACACTAAGCCAAACACCAAAAAAACAACTACATACACTCTTAAAAATAAAGGTGCATAAATGGTTCTTCACAGCGATGCCATAGAAGAACCATTTTTGGTTCCACAAAGAACCATTCAGTCAAAGGTTCTTTAAAGAACCATCTCTTTCTTATCTTTTTGTAATCTGAAGAACCTTCTTTCGCCACAAAGAACCTTTTGTGAAACAGAAATGTTCTTCAGATGTTAAAGGTTCTTTATGGAACCATTTAGACAAAAAGGTTCTTCTATGGCATCGTGAAGCACCTTTATTTTTAAGAGTGTATATGTGTATGTACAACCACACACACATACATATATACTGTATATGTACATACACATTTATGTACACATTTTATTTCATTTCCATTCAGTTTGTTGAAGTATTAAAATAACTTAATAAAACTAAAAACTTAATAAAAGACCTATACAGACATAATAAATTCAGACATAATGTAACTAAAATTTAAATAAATAACAAATACAAATAATACAATCAAATGACAGTAGTTTATCAGTAATCCTAAAAAATAAAACTGCCAAACACACATGCTAAAAAACAACAACTTACACATAGTAAGAAATGGTTATAAAAACTGAAACAGAAGCGAAACAAGTAATAGGAAAGAAGAGAAATAAAAAGCGATACTTTTTTCTGCAGAAAACGAAAGTCACACAGAGTGACATAAGGGTGAGTAAATAATTTAGTTTTGGGTCAACTATCCCTTTAAGATGTACACTGCAAAGCTGATACATTTCTGGTTTGATTTGACAGTTGAAAATAGCTTTTGATGGTTTAAAGTTAATATGAAATAAATATTAAGTATATTCTGCAATATTTCATTATATTTTGATTAAACCAGTTAATATAGATGTGATGTGAAGCTATTTTTAGGTGACATAGAATTAAATATTTTGCAGTGACAGCATACCTCTTTTGCATAAATTGAGACCTACCATCTATCACAATGAAAATCATTTTAAAATAAGTGTATGTCTTGTATAAGACATTTAACTCAATAGTATGATATTGACTCATGCTATTGTTACTGCTATATTATTAGCATTATTTTGGTAGCTTTATGATTACTTTAACCATACTGTATCACATTTACTACATGAATTTCTAAGGCCTCTAAATTATCAACACAAACAAAACTGCTGAAAAATCTGTTGTATACAATCTCCTACATGCCTTCTGTCATCTGATCAAGTTTTTTTTTATCAAGTAAAAGGCCTTGTTGCGGTACACGTGTGTTTTTGCTGTGAAATTTTTTACTGATTTTAAAATCATGTTAAAATATGAGTATCAAAATCTCTCAATTATCATTGTGTTGCATTGCATTGCCCCCCCC